TTATCCTGAATTTGGAGTAGCAATTGAGATGAGTTCAAATTCAATTTGGTATTGGTTAACCCAAGCCATTCATGGAATAGCTAAATTAGATTTAAGTGGAGGTAGTGTCAGATATACAGCTGCAATTTCATTAACTGAAAAAACAGCGATGCAATTGAAAGGGAAAAAGGAAAAAAAAAGTAAAAACATAATTTTTTAATTTTGTAAATTATTATTTTTTAATGGTTTTTTTTTATTTTTAAAATTTTAATAAATATTGGATTATTTATAATAATATTATTTTATTTAATTCAAAATTTTGAATTTAAAATATAAATCTACTAATTTACGTCAGATATTATGACCATATAGTAAATAAATTATAATTATTTAATAAATTTCTATAGGGATTAATTAGTGTTGAACCACGGATTACTTAGTGTTGAACCTAAGATTAATCAGTGTTAAATTAGTAGTGATTAATCGTTGATTCAATTTATTTAATTTCTATAATTCAAATTTGAAATTGCCAAAAATTTCAATTACGAAAACTGCGTAAATTTTGAAATTGCTAAAAAATTAGATCATTTATTTGACTTTTGCATAAAAATTAGATATTTTGTCAACTCATTAATTGCATTGAATGCTGATATATTTCAATACAATTTATATAAGATAAGTTTTATCACGTTTTTATTTCTGTAATTGTTTAATCTTTTACATTGACAATTTTTAAATTTTTCTCAAATAACAATTTTACAATTTTAAAAATGCCTGTCACTGTCGAATGGTCTAATGCAGAAATGCAGCTTTTGATCGACTTAAGGAGAGAAAGAAATAATGATTACTGAAGAAGATTCAAAAGATCAAATTTACCTTTTGGAACGAAATGTCGGCATAGATAAAAAAAAGGTTTATAACTGCATTTAATGGATTACAGACAAGAGAAAAAGTTAAAGGAATGGTCAGGGATTGTAAAGTAAGTAAAATATTAGTAAACAAAAGAATAATAATATTTATCTTAATTGTATTTATAATAATATTTTAATAATTTTAATTTTTTAGTTATTTGAAAAGTACGCTAATAGGGACGAGAAAGGAAAATGGACTTATGTTGGAGAAGTATTTGGAAAACAATTCAAAACCTGATTTTGAGAGAGACCAGATTGGAATAATAAAACTTTTCAATTTATATTTAATTGAAGAAAATAATTATTAAAATTAAATATTTATATTATTTAGTATCACGTATACAAGAAAAAAGCTTGCAAGATTAGCCGAAAAGATCTCAAGGTAAGAAATTTATTCAGTTAATATCAATATTATTTTAACCTAAATTTAAATTTAAATGTTTTAGAATCCTCTCAATCCTCTTTATCTGAAACTCAAAATAACCCTCTCTCTCAATCCTCTCAATCCGAAATCTAACATAACCCTCAATAATCCATCTTTCCAACTATTGTCACTCCTTTTTCTAACTATCTTCATTCTTTTTTCATATTTCATAATTTTAACTAGTCTCTCTTTCCTTTATCTTTTTCATTCTTTTCGTTTATCCCTTTTCACTCGATTTTTTTTATAATTTTTTTTCTGAATTTCGTTAAAAAAAAACTTGAACAAAGCTTACCACCTCTATGTAGTATTCAGGATCAACAGTTATAGGTTAATCTATATCTAGCTAAAAGCAAGCATACTTTTGTAACTTTAATTCGTTAGTTATTTATTTATTTGTTTCCCAAATTGATTAACATATATTGAATTTGAATATAATATTCGTTTTATATATTTGTAACACATTTTCATTTAAAAAAAATCATCATGAAATTGCAACAGTTACTGGCAGTGCAACATCGTTAAAAAATTATAATTCTAATGTTTCGGATGAACTTATTTTACCTAAAGTGTTTCCAAATCAAGTTTTCAGGTAATTTCAGATATATAAGGCGAAAATGAAGCGAAAAGTTTCAGCTTTGAGAAAATTGTTTCGCCTATTATTTCACCTATTATTTCATCTGAAACACTATAATTTATTATACTTTTAATAATTTTAAAATTATTATAAATAGGATGAATTTTTTCTAAATAGATTCAAACAAATCCAAATAATCCAAACAAATGTTAAAAATTAAACAATTTATAAAACTCAAATTATTTTATAATAAAACAAATCATTTTTTTAATAAAAAATGGAAAAAGAACTTTATTTATATAAATGTGTATTGTGTGTAAGTAAAAATCCAAATGGTACATTATTAAGCGGTAAGACGAAAACTTGTGGTGTAGGGTCGACCAACTGTGTAGTGTATAACGTAAAAATAAATAGTGTATGATATACAACACACAGTTCAAATATTAATTATATATATTAAACATTCAAACTGTGTGGTGTATATTATTATAGTGTATATTTTTTATTTAATACACAATTGCTTTTTAGTATTATAACATGAAATTTTAAAATTAATTGAAAAATTTTTTTTTATATAATGCTAAAATTCGTACTGAAATATATAAATTCTTTTACAAAGAAAAAATAAAAAGTACTAAGATCTACATATTGTGAAGCAAATAAATGTGTAAATCTATTACTAACTTAAGATTGTTTTCGTTGTTATATGATAATTTAATTTTTTATATTGTAACTATAATTTATATTTTATAAACGCTTTATTTATTAAATTTTCTTTCACATGTTTATAGCATTTAACGAATGAATATTTATCAAATTTGATTTTTCAAGATTTAACAAATTCTAACTCACGCTTCTTCTCAAAATTTGATAGTTCCATTAAATAGATTTTAGCCTCTCGTTCTCTTAGATCAATTTCATGCTCTTTTAAAGCCAGAACCCGTTCTTTATATTCAAGTTCACTAATTCTTGAAGTTAACTTATTCTCCTTATCGTCATTTTCAGTATCAGAATTAACTACAATGCTTTTTTTTAGGCTTTTTCTTTGCACTTTATTTATGACTAATAGGAATTTCGTCTTCAGTATCAGAGTTATTTACATCCCCTTTTTTATATCCTTTCTTACTAGTAGATCATAATTTACGTTTCATAATAATTGATTTCACCTGTGCATTAGCTGTATAAATAATAAATATTTAAATTATTAATGTAAATATAAATATAACATAAAAATAACATCAGTACTACGTATTTTCATAATATCTTAATTTACCTTGATGTTTATTAAATAGAATGTTACAAGCAATTAGACCTTTGTCCCATCCCCGAGTAGGTATATTGTATTTTTGATGAATACAAATTGCATTGAATCTTTCTCTATCTAATTTTCTTCCTCTATGCATATTAATAAATTAATAAATTTAGAATTTACATAAAAAATTAAATTTTTTTAATATATTGCATTAATACATACTGTAAAATAGCTATTACTAGTTTGAGATTTTTTCCACAACAGTTGCTTAAGGCATGGGCAGCCTCAGCAGTATTAGTATTATTGGGAGATGTTAACCAAATATTATTGTCAATCTTTGACATACACTTATTAAGTGATGCGAAAACCCACTTTTGACGATAAAAAGAAATCCAATCTAATAAATATAAGAATAAATAATTTTTAAAAAAAAATTTTTATTAAATAAACTAAAAAATTTGCTACTAACCAGCAGTATTTTTATCAATTTTTTGAATATTATCAAATAAATGATTGATTGTATCCTCTGATTCAGCTGGTAAAATTGCATACATATTATTTTTTTAAAGTATCATTATATGATTTTTCTCTGATTTTCCTATTATTAAAATATAAAAATAAAATTCATTAAATTATTTTATTAAATTAAAAACATTAATTTTATTTACTTACCTTTATAATGTACTTTACAGGATTTAAAAAAATGAACTAAATATTCTTCCCAATTTCTTGTTTTGTCTATTTCATTTAAAACTAATCCTAGATCTTGTGCTTGTGCATAATCCAGATCTGCAATAACACAGCCCCAACCTTTTTTATGAGTATGCTTAAATTGAGGTGCTAAACCCGTTAATTAAAGTATTAAATCAAATAAAACACGAAAAATCCTCTGATATGCAACTGTTGTTGTACAATTAGTAAATACACGGACAAAAGTAAGAACTAAAAATATAAATTATCAAGTTAGCTAGCATTTAAAATTACAATTTATAAAAACTAAAATATAAAAACTAATATTATAAGATTTTTTTATACTAATAAATTTTGTAATAAGTAAAAAAAATCATACTTAGATTATGTTGAGGATTATAATAATTAACCTCAAATTCATTAATTTCACCTGCAACACGTTTGAAAGAAAGATCTATTTGAAAGTGTTCACATTTTATCCATTCAGATAATCGTTCAGATGTAGTACAGATAATCATCATATGATTATTTTCAAAAAATTCTAGTAAAAAATATTGATATATAAATAATTAATCAATATTATAAAGAATGTAATTATATATATTATATATATTTACCTAAACGCTTTACATATTCAC